TTCTATTTCCACCAGCGAGGAGAATGGCCATCCATGGAAGAGTTCAGGAACAGCCAGCATCAGGATATCCGACCAAGCTTCCATTTGGATTGAAGAAGCTCAGGACATATGACAAACCAGACGTCATCCAGGCATTTGCTGACATCCTGGGATCGCTGATGCAACCAACTGACCGTACTCCTGTGGACCATCTCAAGGCACATGAGTTCACCTCATCCATGACGATAAACATGCTGACCATGAACCACGGAAACCTTACGAGGAACCCAAAGCTGGACAACAAGGAGGTGAATAACATGGCGATGAAGGATCGACCAATCACGAGGATGATGATGCAGAACAGCGCGCGCATCACATGCCTAAATGAAGCAGACGCATTCCCCAGTCCTCAAGATGAGAAATCCAAGGACCTCATCAAGACGTTCATCCGGTTTGGATACAAGGGCATAGTTATCAAGCAATGGTCATCCAAACCAATCGCATGCTTTGTCCGCGGCGGACCTTCCGCAAGAGTGGAACTATTGGCACGACACATTTCCACAAAGAGTCAAAACTGGGGAATTACATTCGGTATGTTCAGATGCTTCTTCGGAACCGAGAACCATTGCACTGATGCCGAATACGACATCCCAACAAGGAAATTGTCGTCATCCACATCGAGCAAAGTGATGAATTTTGTGGCGTGTTTCCAAAGTCATCCAATGATTCACTCCTCGAATTCGACAGCCGCCATGTGACGAGGGCAGACCTCCCATATGCTACCATTGGAGTTTTTCACATCCATCCATCAATCAGCCATGGAGCAGCACGGGACGATTTTCAAACTGAAATCATGCCGCTCGTGACATTGTATCAAGTCCGCGAACACCTACAGCAAACTCCAACAGGTCTACAATCCGGCCAACGGTCTCATGAATATCCTCATGAAAGCATGCCAGAGACTGTGGAATGAAACGGAGAACTTGCCACTCGTGGACAGAATGGAATATGCAATGGAGACTTCCTGCACCCTGAAATCCATCGTCCGTCATCACCTCTACATGAAGACTGGATCCGGGTTTGATCGAACATTCCCAGATGTCATGATGACTTTCGTATTTGGATGGGGCAAGACAAACATCCAGCAGGATTTCCGGAAGAGAGATGGACGCAATGAAAGATGACCAACTGGAACCATGCGGAACGATCCTACGACTGCCATTTTCGACTATCAGGTCTCATCCGCGGAACGTTTCAAGCACGTGAACAAGATGTTCATGAATGGCTCTCAAGATTCCGACTCACACAGTCCGCTGATGGTCTACACCCGCAGCAGATCTGCCACCAAGCAGCGAAACTTTGAGCGATCCAAGGAGTACATCAAGAAGAAGCAATCCTGGACTCAGCAAGAGTATAAGGAGTACAACAAGCAGCAGTGGGGCAATCAGAAGCAGTGGAAGGACTACAGCGACTCGACCTGGCACGACTACGGAGACTACGGCAGCCAATCCAACAGCAGCTATCGGTGGAACCGTTGACTATCTGACGAAGCTGCCACCTCTGGCATCCATTCGACCTCCTTTGGTCTGAGTCACCCGCCAAGGAAAGAAGTTTTTCTGATGCTTGACTGAGAGAACACCCGAAATCGGCACTACGAATTTCAACCGAATTGATCCTCACCGCCAACAAGACTATTCAGTGAGAGATCAATAGTTTCACATCCGTCCCGCATGTACATAGCGTTGCACATCATCTTTTAGATACATCTTGGTATCTCACAGAATCAGTACAGACTGTTTCCATTTTGCAAATCAAGACATTTCATCCGCGCAGAAAACAGGATGAATCCAGTGTTTCAATACACATGGCTACGGCATAAATCAAGGCAACGGCCAAAGGCCAAGAAGCCAAAGATATTTCATATCTAGTGCCGGCGATCAAAACAAATTTGTGTCTTTTTTTGTGTCTGTTTTTGACCAATGTTGATCGCCCGCAACCATTTGGCTCAAGGCCCTTCTGTACCATAGCAATACTCATGATTGCGTGACAAAAGGAACCTTTGCAGGCCGCTTGCAGGATTATACAACAATACAATCCACCAGAAACAATCCATCCTCCAATCATCCATATTGGCATATTGGACTCTCTCCGGAATAGATCCAGGAACCACATAAACGACCTCTACTACCACAGGGTACCAGTTCCCTTCTGGGATAGGTACCCCCGGCACCCCTCCCCCCCTCTAACATCTTTGCCTCCCTTTGCCCCCTTCCCCTCTAACATCCTTCCCCCCACCCTTCCCCCCCCCCAAAAGATACTTCCCCCCCCTAAGATCTTTCCCCCCCCTCCTTCCCCCCTTCTCACATCTTTTCCCGCTTTCTTCCCCCCCCCTTCCCCCCCTTGTTAAAATATTGTTCCCCCCTTTCCCCCCTTACTTCATTTGCCTGCACTTTCCTTCACTTCCCCAGGGACACGATTTAAGACGTTCCACTAAATCCTTTCTTCTGGGGGCTGTGCGGAACATAGTTGCGCACTGTTCGATCTCGTTGCATCCTTAGCATCTCCTGGGCAACATCGCCAGCATTACCTGCATCATCCGCATCAGCGTGCCAATGATGCGGATGATGCAAGTGATGCTGGGGATGTTGCCCAAAAAGCTGGAAATGAAGGAAAATGCATGGAAATGAACGACATGCAGTGAAATGAAGGAAAAGGAAAACAGACATGAAGGGACGGGAGGGGTATCGGCGGATATATATAGTGCTGCGCGCATTCGTGTTGAGGCTGCTTGTGCTCAATGCAGCCGTTTGTCTTCATGCGCACGCAGGATTACTGATGCATGAAGTTTGCCTTGGGTGTATGCGCAGACAGCCACAACAGCCAACTGATAGCTGTCAAACGAGCAGAGACACATGTCTGCCTTTCTGGTTGATGCCTGTACTCGAGTTCGCGAAGCGCACACATTCGACACGTCTTGAAAATTCCGCAAGCGTAGAGCATTGGAATGGACGTTGACCCGTGCTTGCGCTCAGCGGTAGCATTTATGCAAGAGGCACGGATTCGCTCATAACCAAGGGAGGGGAGCTCGAGAAGGCACTTCGGCTGGCGCGCGGCGCTCTTTGATTTCGAGCTGCTTGCAGGTCTAAGGGGTCAGGACGCGCAAGACCCTCAGATCTGCGGTGGGCCAAATAGGCCAACCCACTCACTGGAAAAATTGAAAGCAGGCTACACGTCCCACCAGAAGTTCCTCGCGGCCACTTGATGATGCCGGAGGAAGACAAGTGAATTGGCATGAATGAGTACATTCTAAACAGTTCTGGAGCAGACAGATGCTTTCTTTGGTCCGGCAAGGTTGGCATTTGCAATTGGAACCAACACTTGCGATTTGCTCTTCAAGTGCCTTGACAGCACGCGCGCAGCCTCTCTCATGCGGTCTCCGGACATCTTTGGCAGTTGTTGCAAACAGCTGTTCAAAAAACCAGTGTTCGACTTGACTTCTCTTTTGCAGCATCTCTAGCATTTTGCCCATCGTTGAGTTTCTCCATCCCATCAACCCTGCATTTATTGTAAACGCTTCGCGTTGCCCGCCTTGGCCAGTCCGCTTTTGGCTTTGAGGTATACACCGCGCTTTAGTTTGCCTTGAAGTCTTGTGTTTGCGTGAGCTGGTTTCCAAGGTAGAGGGTGGTGCATGTCTGCGTGCTTCCACTTGGCTTCAAGGGACAGAACGATGTGACCGGAGTTGGACTGACTTTGAGAAGGGGAATTTGACGGGTTTCTAGAGGGGTGGGAATGGGCAGTTGGCCGGTTTCTAGGGGTGATTTGATCGGTTTCTTGACTGGTTTCTGCGGTTTTTGACGGGATTTGATCACTCTCTAGATGACCGGGTTTAAGGGTGATTTGTGAGCGGTTTGTAGAGGGGAGTTGGATCGAACTTACCGGGTTTTGAGGCTCCCTTTCTTGAAGGGATCTGACCTCTTCCCGGCCGGAAGACTTCCGGGCTTGAGGCAGCTGGAGCAGGGATTTTGGCTGCGCGACATGTGGTCGGGGGGAGTTTCTGAAGAGGTCTGACCGCTTCCCGGTGCTGGGGCGAGGCGAAGTGGTTTCTCCATGTCTTGTTGGTTCTTTGTTTGCCGTCTTTCTGTTTGTGAGCGTGCTTGCTGTTCGTTTCTCTCGCTGCTCGATCCTCATTCCTTCATGTCATTCCTTCACATCTTTTGTTTATTCTGCCACATATTGCATCTCTTGCCAGCAAGATCAGTTGCCTCCATGGATCGGGATAAGTCCAGCGACTTCTACAACAGCGCGTGTGCCTGGCGAATTCGCTTTGTATTGCAAAGTCGAGCTGGGATCCTGACCCTTGGCCAGCACAGATAGCACTGATCCAATTTCAGTCTTTTCTTTTTCCTTTCCTATGCCAAACGTGCCCGGGTTCATCAAGTCAAGCTGTGAAGTGGACAGTGTAGGTTCAGCACAGCTGAAGTCGCAGCTTTGCCGTTGGCCAAGCTGTGTCATTTTTCCCATGCAAATTGTCCAAGGATAATGCAGGCTGCACTTATTGCAGCTTTGCTGCTGCCGGAACTGTCAAAATTGCTGGATTTAACATCCAATGTTGGCACCTTACATGTCTTGAACCATTTTGGCGGCACGTGTCGGCAAGACTACCGCCAAGATGTTCTTGAGTTTGTGCTGCCATGGTGACACTGCAAGGTTTGGACGGATCTGGCCATGTCAATTGGCATGGCCTTGTTCATTCTCGAGCTCATTGCTTTGTCGGTGACGGATGCGTGAATTGGTTGCATCGCAGACGTTTGGATTGTCATCATTGACGGACGTGCGTTCCTAGGCATTACTTGCTCAGCTTCTTTCACTTCATGGATATGATTGGAACGGCGTCTATGATATTCGACATTTCCTTCCTCCTTGGCTCAAAGGCCAGTGAGCCTGGTACCAAGAGTCTGCCAGACGCCAGGTTCGCCTTATGCCGTGCACTTTGGGGTCCCTTAGCCTTTCCAAGGCCACGG